GACGACCAGAGACGAATCCAGAGCCCTGAAATGATGACAGAACGTTTATTCAGCTGGGCTCCTCTGAAAAGTCCATGGAAACTCCTCAGTACGAGGGGATCGAGGGGCAGAGCATCAGATTTACAAAACTTCTAGGTGGATTGAGATAAGATGGCCTGTCAAGGCCAGTCAGGGAGCCGAATTCAGATAAACACGATTGTTTTGGGGACAGGCAGAACTTTAATGACATCTACCTTGAGTCTGTGTCAGTCCACTCGCTTCTGAAACATCCAAATTAAATGACCACACCAGTGGAACGTGCCTGAGAATAATCCCCGAGATCTGATCCATTCTGCCAAGAGTCTGGGTACTCGAGGCACGAACCAAGCCATCATATAAGGCAGGCAGCCTGACCAGGTCCAGATTTGCTGCCAACAACTTCCTTGTTTGTTGACAGACCAGGAATCAGCCGAATCCAAAAACCAGGAACCAGTTATCATGAATCCAATTATAAATGCATCCTTAAAATCCACAGGTGGCAGCAGAGATAGACACGTCATCAAGTCTTCGTCGATGAGAGTTCCAGATGCATGCTTGCCAACAGGACAAATCGGCTCGCCTGAAGCCTGTCTTCTCTTCAAAGAAATGTTATCAGTTGTGATGAGGGACCAACTGAAAAAATCCAAGTCCATAATTATGATTCTGAAGATTTGTAGAAGAGAGGCTCTAAAGCAGTTTCACAGACGGAGCAAAAGCAAAGAGGAGAGGAGGAGATGTCCGCCCTTGAGAAGAGCGAGTGTTGAAGTGAAATATATACAGGTTATAAATATTAAGGGGTATAAACAGACTATATAAAAGAAATATAAGTATGTGAGTACCTATGAACAGTAGGTAGTAATTGTGTACAGTATGTACAGTAGTGGGCTAACAGATGAAAGTGCAGGTGGTGGTGTTACAGTCCATGTGTTGTTGTATGAAAATACAGACCGTCGTCGTCGTTCAGATGTCCAAGTGGCGCAGGAGAGTGACGTCAGTGGCAGCTCTTCATCTGCTGCCTCCTTACTGTTGGCTGCATCCAGGTCGTGCTCGCGGTGTGAGGCAGCAGAGGAATTGGAATTACAAATTCTAATTGATTTATGAAAATGAAAAAGTCGTTTCCTCGTAGTTTTCTCTGTAGTTGTGTCACACAGTGAGCAGTGTTGAGATGAAAATGAAAGCAGTTTGGATGATCTATTAGCAGTTTCATTTATGAGTCAAAAATGCAGCTTTGACTTAGAAATGAAAAAGCATTTCTGCTAATTCATTTTAATTTTCAAATTTGACATTTCAAAATGAATTTTGGTCACTTTTTACTGAAATGATCAGAGCCTGTTCCTTTGTTAGTTGTGTCTAATGCTCCTTTTTTCAGGCAGACAACTTTTACTTAAATGTGTTTACTGTAGTTAAAATGACACATTGGTTTTGATTTGTGTTAAATAAACCTTTCAAAGGTATAATCATTCCTCTTTCTTATTTTGCTTAATGGCATTTAACTCTGCAGGTCATCCCTGAACTACTGACACAGAATCACAAGTCCAAGTGTGAACGGTGTCACAGAGTAAACACAATAAAAACATGTATTTTTTTCATTTATCTTTATTTATCCAGGTTAGTCTCATTGAGCCACGGGAACTCATTTTCAAGAGAGACCTGTTTAGGGAGCACATGGTGGGGGTTAAGGGCCTTGCTCATGGGCCCAGAGTGGGGCAAATGAGGGTATTATCTGCAGCATCGTTCATTAAAATGGAACATCACTGTTAATGTACTACAGAAAATATACATACGGTACGCACATGTAGACCACTGCATTAGGTAATGCATTCAGCAAGTACTTTTACTTTTAATACTTAAAGTATTTTTAAAAGAAAGTACTTATTTACTTTTACTTAAGTAAAAAAATGAATGTGGTACTTCTACTTTTACTAGAGTAGATTTGTTTCTGTTTATTTGTACTTTTACATAAGTACAGTGTTTGAGTACTTTCTCCACCAATGAGTCCAAGTTACGTGACTGGAGTCCACACCACTGGTAAATACCAGCAGCAGCAGGTAGACGCAGCATTTCTGGGGCGTCCAGGCTCATGTTCAGCAGGAACTTTTTTAGCACCCGTGCCAAAATAAACATGTAATGCAAAATGTAATGGGGTATAAAAGTTTATAGTAGATTTGTGTGATCCTCTGTGAATTTTTGGAGATTGGAGCTGTTTTAAGATTGCAGCCAGCAAATCACATTAGTCCTGATTTGGTCCATAATTAAAATGTTTCTTCAAACTGAGGTTGTTCAAAAAGATGAGATTTTATTTCCAACATTTTGACCAGCTGGTCAAAGCAGATGGTCTCTTGTCCTGAGCTGGTTCTGTTGGAGGTTTCTTCCTGTTAAAGGGAGTTTTTCTTCCCACTGTCTCCACTGTGCTTGCTCAGGATGGGAGACTGCAACGAAGCCAAGATTCATCTTGTCTGCTGGATTCTTAGATAGAGAACTTTACTAACTGTCTTTTATGTGAATGTTCCTGTAAAGTCCTGAGACAACTTTGTTGTGATTTGGCGCTTTATAAATAAACTGAATTGAACTGAATGGAATTTATTTCATTTATTTCTAACATTTCCACAAAACATTGCTTTAAAATTGTTGAACTATTTCTTTAGGCAGAAAGAATGCTGGGATATTTTCCATTGTACTGAAACTTACAAGCGTTGTATTTTATTGTAGAGCATTAAGTTGTACCATCGAAACATGTTTGATGAGAGAGGATCGTTGAAATTCTCCACCTGAACCTGATGCTTCTGTCCACAGGCACGTCCAACTGGTCAGAGAACTACTTCACCCACACTGCAGGCGTTGGTTTGGTGGTGAACCAGACGGGCTCTGCGGTTGAAGGCGGCCAGCAGACTCTGCAGAGCCAAGCGAAGCAGCTTTTCCTCAGAGACTGGAGCTCCGAGTTGGCCAGCACACTTTCCATAGACGACGTGAACCCGTGCCCTCGCCACCACTGACGGCTTGTTGTTCAAGAATCTGAAGTGCATGGGCCTCTTCCTCGCTCCTGCTACTTGAACCTTATTTTTACTATGCAGATTGGATTAGTGGTGAACAACCACGTGTTTTCATGCTGCCTACCGTTTTCTGTATATGATCGCATTTAAAAGATTTAGTTTCAAAATGTTCTGGTTTTTAATACTCTAATTTCTCCACGGTTGAGGTATAAAGCTTTGTCTGGAGCTATCTGTATATATTCCTGAAAATGTGCCAAATGTTGGCAGCACGGTGGCGCAGTTGGTAGAACTGCCACCTCTCACACAGAATGTTGTTGGTTCAAATCCCAGCCAGGACCTTTCTGGTGGAGTTTGCATGTTCTCTCCGTGCTGCGTGGGTTTTCTCCAGTTACTCCAGTTTCCTCCCACAGACCAAAAACATGCATGTTAGACGGACTGGTAACTCTGAACTGTCCCTAGGTGAGAGAGTGAATGGTTGTTTGTCTCGTTTGTCTCTGTGTGTCCCTGTGATGGACTGGAGACCTGTCCAGGGTGTCCCCCGCCCCTTGCACAGTGGCTGCTGGACATGGGCACCAGTGACCCCCACGACCCGAAAAGGAAGAAGCGGGTAAAGGTGATGGATGGATGTTGTGCCAAGTTTGAACAATTTCATGCAAAAAGTAAAATTTGGAAACATGCGTGTAACAGACATGTTTACACTGCAGAAGATTTTGATCCATGTAGCAAATGTTCCTTATTAATGCTCGTTTTTATCAAATGGCTGACCCAAAAACTGAATTCCAGTTTGTACACTTCTTAAGAGAAGTGAAAAAACTGAGCCATGGGAGTGTGTGTGTGTTGCTGTAAATGTATGAACAGCATGTGACGGACTGTTTGTGCCGTCGTCTGACAGCTCTGTTGAAACGAACAGAGCTCCTGACTGGATCAAGTCTTGGACCAGCACCACTTCATATGTCATCAATAAACTCTGCTCACCTTTCAGATCCTCCTTTCTCCTTTAGTGACTTCCCCCTCTATAAAATCGTATTTGTTCTTATTACAAGTTTAGAATTGAATTCTAATGAGGCATCTGAAATATATGCTTTGATTTACAGCATTTGACGGAACTGGTGGTAATCAGAAGTGCAACGTATTAAAAAGGGCCGGCATTCATGAAGGCACTAATAGAATAAAAACATTACGTTGAACACCTCAACATGAAACAGATGAGCAGCAACACGAAACAGATCAGCAGCAACACGAAACAGATCAGCAGCAACACGAAACAGATCAGCAGCAACACGAAACAGATCAGCTGCAACATGAAACAGATCAGCAGCAACATGAAACAGATCAGCTGCAACATGAAACCGATCAGCAGCACGAACATGAAACCGATCAGCAGCACGAACATGAAACAGAGCAGCACGAACATGAAACCGATCAGCTGCAACATGAAACCGATCAGCAGCAACATGAAACAGATCAGCAGCAACATGAAACAGAGCAGCACGAACATGAAACAGATCAGCAGCAACATGAAACAGAGCAGCAGCAACACAAAACGGATCAGCAGCAACATGAAACAGATCAGCAGCAACATGAAACAGCAGCACGAACATGAAACAGATCAGCAGCAACATGAAACAGATCAGCAGCAACATGAAACAGATCAGCAGCACGAACATGAGTGTGAGAGCAGGTGCAGTATATTGTATACAATACCAGAAAGTTAGTTTGTATAATTCATGTTCAAGATGCTGCATGTAATAAAGACAATTTCAAGAAACATTTGCTGCTGTTTAAAGAAACCATACGCAAGTTACAGACTAGAAAATCTGATTTGACTTTTTAAGTTTTCTAAGATATTTTGTTGTCAGATTATTTTCCAAGTTGCTCTTAATGCAGCATCAGGATAGAGACTTTAGAAAGTCAAACTTCAGTTAAGCATTAAAGAGATTTTTAAATAAGTACAAATTTACACATTTTCTCACAGAATAAACTACACACTGGTGGATTTGCATCTTTTATTAAACGGGGTTATTTGTGTTAAACTTGTTTTATCATCATGGTTTAGTACATTCATATGCTGTCAATGTCTCTGGGCAGAAGTTGCAGTTCTTTCTCTGAATGGAAAAATAAGAATCAGCAGCAGGTTTAGGCTCTGCAGAGAAGTTCATGATGACACACGACTACAACAGCCCTCTGGAAATCATCATCATCACTGGACTAATGCTCTGGTTTCATGTTCAACTTTGACATTAAGTACCACGATATTCTGGAATTGTATAATAATAACATAGATGATACAAGACATTTTCAGCGTCTAAGAAAATAAATAGCAAAAACAAACTAGTCGGAGCACTGATAAAAAACAACTACTAATTACACAATTTCTTTTAATAATCACTTTAAGAATCCTCAATTTAATATTCACCTGATTAAACAAATAACAAACATGACAAATAAAAACTAAGAGAATGAAAACATGTCGTGCCCCAGAAGAAGAAGTCACAGTTCATGTGGCTCTCAACGCAGATTTGAGCAGCAGCTCAGCGTGTGCTCTCTTTATGAGAGCTGGCCCTCCGCTTCTTGTTCAGCATCCAGCTGTGATCGTGTCCAGTGATGCTCAGGGAAGACAAACTGTAAACTCTGAGAGCAGGTTTTCACCAACTCTGGAAGTCCGTCACCGTGTGCGAGCGATGGAGGCTTGAGGTCACGAGCGTCCTCTCATTCCATGGACAGCTGCACGCTCTCCGTCTGCTGCTGCAGCTCAAACTTCCTGGCTGCAGAGCAACACAGGACGACACTCAGCACTGTGCCGGGGACGACTCACATAAAGACAAAGCTTTCAGGGACATTGAAACCCTCACTGCTCCACACACAACATCAGTTCTTCTCAAGGTGAGCGAGCCGACGAGGTCATATAAGAAGAAGATTTGAGCCCTGTCAGTATTTCTGTGGCCCACACTTAATACGAGGAGTACATTAAAAATTAGTTCTGCAAATGTGTCTTTTGTGCACGTACAAAATAATTTTCAAAATGACATAATAAACCACATAATATTTAATTAGATAAAAATGCTCATTATAGTTTGTTTTATCGTTGAAATTGAATATTCATTAATGATAAGCTTTACTTTGTCCAAAAATATCTTGTCTGTTTTATTAAAAACTCCCAGATTTTGTCCGGGTCCAACTATATCTGGACCTGGACCTATATCTGGACCTGGACCTATACCTGGACCTATATCTGGACCTATATCTGGACCTGGACCTATATCTGGACCTGCTGGACCTATACCTGGACCTGGACCTATATCTGGACCTGGACCTATATCTGGACCTGGACCTATACCTGGACCTATATCTGGACCTGGACCTATACCTGGACCTGGACCTATACCTGGACCTATATCTGGACCTGGACCTATACCTGGACCTGGACTTATACCTGGACCTATACCTGGACCTATATCTGGACCTGGACCTATACCTGAACCTATATCTGGACCTGGACCTATACCTGGATCTATACCTGGACCTATATCTGGACCTGGACCTATACCTGGACCTGGACCTATATCTGGACCTGGACCTATATCTGGACCTATACCTGGACCTGGACCTATACCTGGACCTACTGTATACCTGGACCTACCATTCTGTGTTGGTCTGTCTCTCCTTCCTGTCCTCTCAACCAGCCGGTCAAAGCAGATGGTCTCTTGTCCTGAGCTGGTTCTGCTGGAGGTTTCTTCCTGTTAAAGGGAGTTTTTCTTTCCACTGTCTCCACTGTGCTTGCTCAGGATGGGAGACTGCAACGAAGCCTAGATTCATCTTGTCTGCTGGATTCTTAGATAGAGAACTTTACTAACTGGCTTTTATGTGAATGTTCCTGTAAAGTCCTGAGACAACTTTGTTGTGAACTGGTGCTTTATAAATAAACTGAGTTGAATTGATATCCTGATGCTTGCTCAATAATCAATAATGAATTGAATTGAATTTGGTGCTTCATAACTAAACTGACCGCTGAATGTTGTGAGTGAGTCTTTTACCTAAAACAAGAATGTCCTGTGTGACATGCTGGATAATTCAATTCAAAGGTTCTTTGAATTGAGAAAACTCCACGGATGAGAAGTGAAACATCTTCTGTTACAAATAAAGTCTAGTTGTTTTTGTATTAAACGTTTTTTATTTTAAATTTTATTAAGCTTTTACTACTTTTTTAAGCAAATCAGTTTGACATATTTTAAAAACACGTTTCAAAGAAACAAAGATATCAGATTTCTTGTTTCACCAAATGGACATTAACAAACAAAATGAGCTCTAAAGAACAGCTGTTATATTTACATTATTATATTATATTATTATATTATTATATTATATTTTATTACATTAGGCTGTTATATTTACACTATTATATTATTATATTATTATATTATATTTTATTACATTAGGCTGTTATATTTACACTATTATATTATTATATTATATTATATTTTATTACATTAGGCTGTTATTATATTATTATAAAAACTCACTACTATTCAGTAGCTTTCAACACCAGATGATCTGTGTTTTGATCCTGTATGCTCCACACTGGTTTGTTGTCATTATCTGCATCGTTTTTATGTCTATATTCTGATTTACCTCATTTTGTATTTTGCTTTGTGTGTTACCTGTTGTTCTGTCTGTACAGCACTTTGGTTGGCTTCGTCGCTGTTTTAAGTGCTTTATAAATAAAGTGGTATGGTATGGTATAGGACTAAGTGAATATGGCACCTCAGACTGAAGAAGTCTTTTGGATGAAAGACAAAAAGTTTCTACAATTTTTTTTTTGTTTTGTTTTATTCAATGTCCAGAAGACCAGATTTAAGTTTTTTAGATAACTCAAAAATAATACTAGATTTGTAGGAGAGCCTGAGAAGTCTATTTGCTGACTCAAGAAGCTGTTGTGGAGCTGACTGTGTTGGACATGATGCTCACCCAGAGAGTGCATCTCCAGCTGCTGCCGCAGGCGGACCTTCTGCAGGCTGTCGTAGAAGCTGGGCTCAGGGCTGCTGCCCACAGTGGGAGGGAGCGCGAAGATCCGCATGATCTTCCTCTTGTTTCTAATCAAAACACAACAAGAGCACAAGTAGCATTATGAGAACAAGTAGCACCAAAAGAACAAGTAGCACCATGAGAACAAGTAGCATTATGAGAACAAGTAGCACCAAGAGAACAAGTAGCACAATGAGAACAAGTAGAACCATGAGAACAAGTAGCATTATGAGAACAAGTAGTACCAAGAAAACAAGTAGCATCATGAGAACAAGTAGCATCATGAGAACAAGTAGCATCATGAGAACAAGTAGCATTATGAGAACAAGTAGCACCAAGAGAACAAGTAGAACCATGAGAACAAGTAGCATCATGAGAACAAGTAGCATCATGAGAACAAGTAGCATTATGAGAACAAGTAGAACCATGAGAACAAGTAGCATTATGAGAAAAGTAGCATTATGAGAAAAGTAGCACCATGAGAACAAGTAGCACCAAAAGAACAAGTAGCATTATGAGAAAAGTAGCATTATGAGAACAAGTAGCATCATGAGAACAAGTAGCACCAAAAGAACAAGTAGCATTATGAGAACAAGTAGCGCTATGAGAAAAAGTAGTACCATGAGAAGAAGTAGCATTATGAGTAGAAGTAGCATCATGAGAACAAGTAGCATTATGAGAACAAGTAGCATCATGAGCACAAGTAGCATTATGAGAACAAGTAGCATCATGAGCACAAGTAGCA